GTCCAGCCAGCTCAGGTCGTGCAAGGAGAAGATGTGCTCCAGACCCTTTCGGATCCCTACCAGTGCCAGCAGCTGGGGCCAGGGCAAAGCACAGATCAGCACTGCACAGTGCTTAGGGCTGGGGACCAGGGAACAGGCAGCATGCCTCCTGTCATCCCCCCTCCATCCCCCTGATAAATCCCAGGGAGGTGGCATGTCACCCTGCCTGGACTGATCCCAGGGTGTGATACTTGCACAACACCTGCAAAGCAGCAACAGTACCACCAGCCCCAACCCAGGAGGTGAAGGCTGGTGGCAAAGCCATGTTGTGGCCCTTCAGGGACCCCACCAGCCCTCGGGGGTCTAAGCACCCACATACACCACCTGCCAGGACATGTGCCTCCACCAAGGGCAGCACCCCTTGCCCAAGGCTTGCTGTGGCTCTGGCGGTGCTCAGGGCATGTGTGAGCAGCAGGCAGCCCAGCACCAAAGCAGTGCCACCCAATTAAAAGGGATGTCATACCATCATTGGGAAAATAATAGCAGCCATGGTGGACTTGAGGACCCAGAGCAGAGCCAGACACAGCAGCTGGATGACAGTGAAAAGGTGCACCCAGCGCAGGGGCACATGGCGGAGGTAGGTGAGGTCTGGCTGGTGCTTGGCAGGCATCAGGAGCAGCCGCACACGGTCTGTGAGCTGTAGTGAGAGGATGGCATGGGGGTCACACACCTCCAACTATCAGGCAGCTCTCACCCACCTCCTTGTTGGGAGCAGGGCTGGCAGCACGGGCTTTCACCATATTTGTTTCAGTTCAGCCCTCCTGCCATCTGCACTGGCCACCAACATGATGCCTGGGCAGGTGAGTTTGTCTGTAAGACCAGGGGTCCTGGTACCACCATCACCCCAGGCTAGGGGAGCACTTTTCAGGCAGACATCCAGAAAAGACTCAAGCTGGTCTTAAAGGGTTAATTGAGAGGTAACAACCCCTTGATTCCCCTCCCAGGAAACTGCTGCTGCCTTTGCCAGAGCATAACCCCTGAGCAGTTGCAAGAAAAATGTACTGTTTACAGGAAAAAAAGGGGTAGATATTTCTGGAGGCAGGAATTTTTTCCTCTTGGTGCGTTTCTAAGGAGAGAAACAGAGCTGGCACATCAGCAGCAATGCCAGGACCAAAGGACAAGCAGGTCCCAGCTCTGCCTGCAGCTCCCAGATGGTGACGTCCTGGCAGCTTTGAGGAGAATCTGGGTTATCCACTGGTCCCTCCACTTCTCCCAAACCAGCGCAGAAGTTGCTCGTGCTCCTCAATATCCCAAACACTTCCCTTTCCCCTTCCTCTGCCCTGGAAAGGTCCCTCTGTACCTCTGTCCTGGGGCAACAGACCTGTGCCAGGTTGCACATCATGCAGAGCTAAAATCCAGGCTCTGATGCGCAGTGAGAGCTGGTATCAAGCAAACACCCTCATCCCCCAAAACAGCTCTCACCAGCACCCCTGAGGGAGCCCCCACTCACCTGGATGCTGTTCAGTGCCACCACCCCCATGTGCAGAAAGACCCCATACAGCACTGGCATCGGGATGTGCTGCAAAACAGCAGGACGACGGGTCAGCAGGGTGCAATTTCCCAAAGGGGCTGCACTTGCAGAGCATCCTTTCCTGTATAAAAGCCTGCACACGTGACCACAGCATTTGCTTCCTTCATTTCTAACAGCCCAGTTTAATTTAATGGCTTTTTGATTATCTTATGGCTTTAAACTTGGTCGTGCTCCTGGCTATGCTGCTCATGTGGGGACATTGCAGTCTTCCATCTGGATGCTCCCTTGCAGGGACTTCGCAGAGAGAAGAAACACTCACCAAGTTCTTTGCCCTGTGTTCCAGCACATGGGGGGAGCAATTCAGGCTGGAGATGGAGAACATGATGCCAAGCCACTTGGAGATATGGCTTACAGCTCAGGGTCTATAAATGCTGGAGGGGGTCCTGCCTCCCTGGCAGACTGCCTTCTTTTTCACTTCCTTCTCTGAAAGTGCTAACTGACTCCTGCCTCTCTGTGTTGCTCAGTGTGGTTTGGTTTTCTCCCAAGCCCAGACAGGCAAGGAGGGAGATGTGGGTCACTTGCTGCTCCCCATGGATTCCACCAGGGACACAGGGACTGCCCAGGGCTGGGTTGGCTTCCATAGCATCACGCAAGGGCTGGCTGAGAGGAAGCATTGATCCACATGCCCGAGGCAGGAAGTAACTGCTAGTCCTGAGGCTGCTACAGGTGTGGCAGAGGGGATTGTAAAGAGAGATGGGTCCTTTCATGAAGGTCCCTTTGAAAGGCATCCCTTTCCTCAGGTGTGTCAACCACACCACGAAGCTTGGTGTCATCTGCAAATGTGCTGAGGGTGCCCTCGATCCCACTGTCAATGTCGTTACCGAAGACATTAAATAGTATTAATCCCAGTAGGGACACTTCAGGGACACCACTTGTTACTAGTTTCCACCTGGACATTGAGCTGCTCACTGTAACCCTCTGGATGCAGCCATCCAGCCAATTCCTGATCCACCTAACAGTCTGTCCATCAATTCCATATCTTTCCAATTGGAGGTAAGAATGGGACCATTTGAAAGGCTTTACAAGGCCATCCTCAAATAAATATGAGGACAAAGGTGGAGGAAAAGGGACCTCCTGCCTGCCCCCACATAATCCAGATGTGGCCAGGGTACATACACTGGGGGCTCTGCCTAATGTGGCAGCAGCAGCAGGTGAGAGCCAACATCAGCCAGGCTGGGACCCCCACGTGGGAGGTCATGGTAGAGTGTGTTTGGGGACCACAGGGGACCCTGATACCCACAGGGAGCCTGTGCAGCTGACATGGGGCAGCAGTGCACTGGTGTGCTGGCTGTCTTACAGCGCTCAAGACAAACCCTTTGCCAAGCCCCTTCCCACAGAGTGCACAGCTCCCTGCTTGTCAGCCAGGATTCCCATGATGGATTGATGGGACAAGGGACAGCAGGGATAGGAACCCCCCAGCCTTGCAGGACACATCCACTCCACTGGCTAGGAAAAGAGGCCAAACCCAGCAGCCAGGCTCCCTACCTTGAGAACAGGTGCCATGAAGATGGAGAGCCCCGTGAGGACGAAGATGGCCAGCCCTGTCAGCCTTTGCTCCCTGCAGATGGCAGCACAGAGGTCACAGGTGCCTCGGGGTCCCTTGGGAGCCTGCAGTCCCCACCTGCCCTCTCAGCCCCCAGGGTCTCTGCTCTTTTCAGCTTTGATGGCAACAGGGACTGGTGGCATCCTCAGGGAGAAACAAGAAGGCTGGGTCTGCGGCCAGCATGGACACATCCCTGTGCCCTGTCTCCGTGCCCATGGGCAGAGGGTATGCCAGAGCAGGGTCCAGACTTGTGACGCACCTGATGCCCAGGAACTCGGGGTGCTCGCCAGGGGACGAGGTTGTGCTCTCCTTCCTCAGGCTCTCCATATGTGCCAGGGAAATGACAGTGGCCGAGACATACCAGGGGAGTCCGGTGGCAGAGGTGACGACCATCAGGAGAGAGACACAGAGGAGATCCAGGTGAAAGCCTGCTCCTTTCTGCAATGGCAGAGATAGCAGGGCTGCAGGCAAGCCATGTTCCTGGCAGCATCAGAGGAGGGGCAGTGGGGTCTCCTACATTTCCATCTGGTTCGGGGTGCCACTTTCCCCCAGACACCCCCTGGTCCACAGGGTCCAGCCAGGACCTAGGTCCTGCCTGTCCTCTGCCCCCTGCTCACCTGCAGCTTGTATTCCCTGCGGTTAAGGATGACGGCCGTGATTTGCTGGTCCATGAAAATGAGGATGGTGACAAGTACAGCAGGCAACGCAGACACCACGCAGACCCACCATGGGTTGGCTCCGAAGGGGAAGATGATCCAACCCCGCGCTGGGTTCGTGGGCTGCACAGAACAAAAGAGTCACAGCAGCTGCCACCTGCCTACGGGTCTGAGGGCGCAGGTGGGTGATGGGACCAGCCCCAGGTGTCCAGGCTGGAGCCCTACAGGCACCCAGGGATGCTCCACCTGAGAAGAGGAAGAGCATCCTCTCTCATCCTAGGGATGCTTCTGGACAGTGTGACCCATCAGCCCCTTATGAGGACAACGCAGCTTTGGCAGAACAGAGGGTTGCTCCTAGGCACTGCAAGCCAGGAGCCTGGCACATGATCCTGGGAGCAGGTGGAAGAGGTAGTGCTGGGAGTTGACGATGCCCAAGGAGATGGCAGCAAGCAAGGGCTGCTCTGAGGTGCTGCCAGCCTCGCTCCACACCCAGGGTGGGGAGCCCAAGCCCGGGCTTGAGCTCATAGCTCTCACTCCAGCGTAAGCTCTATTGTAATGTGGTTAGTACACTACTGAGCCAGGTTATTTACAGTGTGGGATCGGCTGTGGTTCAACCCCTTCTTGTTTGCTGGGGCACAGTGCACATCCCTATAAGGCTGGAATCAGCAGTGGGAAGGACAGCAGCAGCACGGTTGGATGGCCACTGTGAGGGGCGCAGACCCGCTCCCTGACAGCACCATGCCCATCCCACCAGCACCTTCAGCTTGCTGGGGACAAGGAGCTTGGGGGTCTCCAGGCCCAGGGCAGCATCGACAATGCAGGAACCAAGAATAGCCAGGATGATGGCAAAGTCGCCCACCAGCTTCCGCACCTGCAGATGGAGAGAGCTTGGCCTGGGCTGGCTGGGGCCTGGGGCTGCCCCAGGAGCACCCCCAGATCGCAGCACACAGCGCTGTCCCCACGCTACCAGGACAGGTGGCCATGCTGACAGAGTGGCAGAAGGATACTCACCCCTGCAGGGAAGTAGCGGCTGCTCTTGAAGCGCTTGAGAGTGGAGCAGGAGAGGAAGGTGCCCCCAAAGAGCAGAAAGGAGATGAGGGTGACATCGGGCACGTACTGGCAGCTGGTCCCCACAAGGTGCCCACCTTGATCCAGGCACTGGGTCCTGCTCAGCCTGGCCAGGGCAGCAGGAGGCTGCAGGGACAGGGCAGGCAGCAAGGAGGGGTCACATGTGGACACCTTGGGCCTACCTCAGCCCCTCGCCAGCCTGCCCAGGAGCAGGGGCTGTACCTGCCAGGGTGCCAGGGGTGAAGGGAGTGGCGTGTCATTCCCTGTGGAGCTGTGACCTGCAAGAGTAAGGGAAGGGTCAGGCTGCCAGCACCATGGGCATGCACCATCAGGCATAACTGGGACTGCTCCTCCCAAAGGCTTGGGTTGCTAGATGGAGCATCATGGGATCCCGGAGGCCCCAGCCTCAGCTTATACCTGGAGAGCACCAAGGAAGGATGCCCTGTAAAGCCCAACACTGATGTTTTTAGTACACGATGTGTGTTCCTTTTGCAGGATCAGGGAAACCTCAGGTCCCAGGAAACACCCTCTGATTTACAGGCTGGGCTAGAAACAGCAGGGCAAATCCACCAAGGTGTCCACCTCCAGCCCCTGGCATCTCCCATCCTGGAGCCATGGGAGCTGGACCAAGGCTCTCCTTGCTTCCAGCACTGCCCTGCCTAGTGCCTGAGCACTGCCAAGAGGCAGGGACTGATGGACAGACAGCATGGAGAGGAGTGGAGGAAGGTGCCGATGTGGTCGGGTAGGCAAGGATGAGATTGAGCAGCCTCCTCCTCTTTCGCCCATCAAGCCGGGTGGCAGTGCTGCTGTGAGGTGCCAGGGTGGTAGCCCCCTGCTTCCCACCAGCCCTGCAGCTGCTTGGGCTCACCAGGGCTGGATAAGTTGCAGACACAGCTGTAGGATGTGACATTATCCAGCCGGTACTGCAGGTTGATGGGGAAGGCATCTGCCAGGCTCAGCATCTTCTTCAGGGAGTCGTAGATGAATATCAAGCTGATGAGGGCGCAGAAGCCTTCCTCAGTGAAGCGAGTGAAGTACCGCACTAGGTGGCTGGCCTCAGTGGCCACCAAGACCACACCAAAAAAGGCCACCCAGAGCCCAATCCAGAGGCGAAACTCCAGGTAGTCCAGGCTGTAGTTCCTGGTAGGAAGGGTGACCCAAAGCCTCAATGACACCCACCTGGAATGATGGCGTCCCTTGCCCCAGCCAGGGGACAGTGGCCTGAGGAACTGTCCTGGCAGGGTACTTACTGGCTGAAGGAGAAGAGGAGGCGCTCGAAGACCAGCACAGGGCCAGTGCTGCTCAAGATGGTCAGGGGCTGGCCAGAAAAGAGGCAGAAGACGGAGCCGGCAAAGGCTGTGCCCAGGAAGCTCTCCAGCACACCCTGAAACGCAGAGGAAGGGTGCCAGGCATTTGTCATGAGTGGGGGTACCAGGCCTGTCCCCTGCAGTGGCAGAGCAGCAGGCAGCTGCCTGCACCTCTCTGCACTGCCAGAGTTCAGGGTCAGTGCTCAGGGACTGCAGAGGCTGGAGAAGGACATAGGATTTGGGTGATGCTCAGGATGCTCCAGGAGCACCACTGGCTTCCCCAGGCACTGATAGGAGGTGGGCACCCAGGAGACCTGCAAGCTGGGCCAAGTGGGGTTGGTGCAGGGCACCCTGCAGCCGCACTCACCTGCATGTTAGCGGTCGCATCCCCAAGCATGCCCCCAAAGGTGATGGCGTTGGTGACCGTCGCCAGGTAGATGTACAGCACTGCTGAGAGGCACTGGGGGTGCAGGGCATCGGAGAAGTCACTGGCATACCATTGCGCCTTCCTCCGTATATCTCGCATTAGCCCCCCGAAAAGCCTGGGGCAGCAGAGGGATATCTCAGAGCAATCCCTTCCAGTTGGCCATCACCACCTGAGAGAGCTGCAAGGCAGAGGACAGTCCCTCCCTGGGACACACCAGCCCAGAGTGATTTGGATGTGGTGCCTACATGTGCTGGGGACAGCTAGTGCCCACTGCACCTACCACTACCCTCATCCTTCCAGGCACCCACCTGCCCGTCCTCTCCAGCTCCTCCCTGGAGCATGGGTGCCCCAGGCTGGCTCTGTTCCCAGCTGCTGCCATGTCCCCATTGCCATGGGACTGCTGATCCGGTGGGTACACAGCAGACCTGTGGTAGACCAGAGCCTGAGATGACAGACTTTTGTTTGAAGCCCTCAGGACCCGGTTGCATCTGGGTGACACTATGAGGGGACAGGGAGGATGGAGAGGACACGGGTGCAAGCAGGGCTGGGGGGCCTCATGTATCCCCTGATAATGAGGAGAAGGAGAAAGATCAGGAGGAGGAGAGATGGCAGGGTTGGACAACATGATCTTCAAAGGTCCCTTCCAACCCAACCCAACCATGATCTGCTCCAGGAAGCCCTGAGCCAGCTCTAGTGGGACCAGTTTTGGTGGAGGAGATAAGCAGAACTGAATGTGTCCTGCTCGGAGGATGAGTTTCACATCCAAGTGCTGAAACCTGGTGTTCCAAGCAGCTCTTGCCTGAAGGTCACATGGGATGGTTTTGCCATCCTCTACCAAGTGGGACAGGAGGACTAAGCAGCCGTAGTCATCACCAGAGCTACAGAGGGGCTTGGCTGGGGGGATCTCACTGGCAAAGGTTGGCTCCTGGGTGACTTCATCCCCAAGGGAGATGGGGATTTCCATGTCACAGGCAGAGGTCTCCACCTGGGACCCTGCAGAGAGGCTGGCAGAGGCTACAGGTGCCCTCCCTCCAGCCTACCTCCTGTGAAGAGACAGCACACAGCTTGGTGGAGGAATTCGGGCACTGTGGTCCCATTTCCCAGGAGGAAGCACAGTCAGCTCATTCTCATCCCTGTAATGAGGTCCTCTCGGTGCTCAGCCTGCTGGGCAACCCTTTGGAAAAGCTGCAGGGAGATGCTGTGGTTTAGCCCTGCGTTCAGCCACTTGGAGCCTTCCTGCCAGCTTGCAGCCATCTCCGAGAAAGGCACCCATCTATTTCAGTGCTACAGGTGTAGTCCTACAGCCCCACCCCAAAACTCTGTTTTCTCATCCTGGGCAAGGGAGCCACCAGCTCACCCCATCCTCTGCCTCCCCCACTACAGCCTACAGAGAAGAGGAGCTCCGATGTCCCCAGCCTCAGGCCCATCCAGCCCATGGCTTACCTCATCTGTCAGCAGTGTGGCCATGGCCCTGCCAACCTCGTGGTAGGCTTTCACTTTGGCTTGGGGACCCAGCAGAATGAAGAGGAACCTGTGGGTGAGACAGCGCATCACCTGAGTAGCCCTCTACTTGCTGGGTGATGCTTCTCTCAGGTGCTGTGGGGCTGCTGGGGATGGCAACTGGGCAGGTTTCAGGGGCTGCTGCCACCCTAAAGGGTGGCCGCCCTGAGTGGGGGGTCAGGGACAGAAGACGTGTCTGCTGCCCACAGCATGGAAAACCCATGGGGGACCATTGGACACCGGGACCCCAACTGGATCACAGGGTCTGAAGAAACCTGGACTGAGGCAAGGGAGGGGTCAAGTATTTAATAGAATCACAGGATGGTTTAGGAGGGAGGGACTTTAAAGATCATCTAGTTCCAACCCCCCTGCCATGGGCAGGGACACCTTCCACTAGACCAGGTTGCTCAAAGCATCATCCAGCCTG